ATCCATAGACTGAAAGTCAAAGGATGGAGAACAATACTCCATGCAACAGGAACCCACAATAAAGCAGAAGTAGCTATTCTGTTTGCAGGTAATGTGAACTTCAAACCAAGAATTATCAAAAGAGATAAATAAGGTGACTACATACTTGTTAGGGGAAAACTGCAAGAGGAAGAGATAACAATCATAAATATATATGCACCAACTGTAGGAGAAGCCAACTATATAAGGCAAATTTTAATAGACATGAAAAAGTCAAATAAGTAATGGCACAATTGTAACAGGGGATTTTAATACCCCATTGGCACTAAGAGATAGATCAACTAGACAGAAAGTCAGCAAAGAAATAACAGAAATAAACTAAATGTGTGAAGAAATGGACTTAGTACACCTTTACAGAGTATTGCACAGAACAACATTAGAATACACATTCTTTGGCTGATGATATAGTTTAGCAGTACAGAACCTACCTAGCAAGCATGAGGTCACTAGTTTGATGCGTGATACCAAAAAAAAAAAAAAAAATCTAGAATACACATTCTTCTCAGCTGCACATGGAGCATTCTCTAAAATAGACCATATATTAGCCCATAGAACATGCTTAAGTAAATGAAAAGGAATTGCAATTATCCCATGAATATTATTGGACCTTAACACAATGAAATTGGAAACAAATGACAAAAGAAATTGCAAAAACTCCATAAACACATGGGAATTAAATAACATCCTCCCAAACAACCAATAAGTCACAGAAGAAATCAAGCAACAAAATGAACAATATTTACAATCAAATAAAAATGCAGATACAAACTACCGGAACCTGTGGGATGCAATGAAAGCAGACCTCAGAGGGAAATTTATAGCTGTGGATTCCCATATCAAGAGAACAGAATGAACACAAATAAACAACCATATGCTGCACCTGAAACGTCTAGAAAAAGAAGAGAAAGTCCAGCCCAAAGCCCACAGAAGGGAGGAAATTATAAAGAACAGCACAGAAATTAACACGGTGGAGACTAAGAAGACAATACAAAGAATTAATGAATCGAAGAGTTGTGTCTTTGAAAAAGTACATAAAAATGATAAACTTACAGCCAACCTTATTAAAGAAAATGTAAGAAAAACTCAAAAACATGCAATAAGGAATGAAAAGGGTGAAATCACTATAGGTCCTGTAGAAATTCAGAAGATCATTAATACCTACTTTGAAAATTGTTACTCTCATAGGATGGGAAACTCAGAAGAAATGGACAGATTCCTAGATATGTATGAATTACCAAAGGTGAATCAAGAAGATATAAAAATCCTGAATAACCCAATATCAGACAACAAAATTGAAAATATAACTTAAAAAAACTTACCAACAGAGAAAAGCCCAGTTCCTGATTGATCCACAGCTGAATTCTACTGGAAATTTGGAGAAGATTTAATACCAATTCTCCTCAAACTCTTTCATGAAATATAAAGGAAAGCTATTCTCCCCAGCTCATTCCAGGAGGCAAGAATTACCCTGATACCAAAACCAGAGAAAGACCCAACCAAAAAAAGAGAATATAGGTCAATCTCCCTAATGAACGTGGATGCAAAAATTCTCAATAAAATACTAGCTAATAGAATGCAGCAAATCAAGAAGATAATACACCATGACCAAGTGGGATTCATTCCAGGAATGAAGGGATGGTTCGATATATGCAAATCAATAAATATAATACATCATATCAACAGAGCCAAAGAAAAAAATCAGATGATCATCTTAATAGATGCAGAAAAAGCTTTTGATAAAGTCCAACACTCATTCATGATTAAAAAAAAAAAACAAAAAAACTCTACAGAAAATTGGAATAGATGGATTTTATCTCAATTGGTAAAAGCCATCTATGACAAACCAACAATCAACATCATACTAAATGGACAAAATAGTTCTGGAAACATTGGCCAGGGCAATTTAAAAAAAGAGAGAAATAAAAGGAATAAGGATAGGAAAGGAAGAAGTGAAGTTATCATTATTTGCAGAACACATGATACACTACATGGAAGATCCCAAAAACTCCACCAAAAGACTCCTAGAATTAATAAACAAATTCAGAAGCACAGCTGGATACAAAGTCAAGACACAAAAAGCAGAAACATTCCACTATACAAACAACAAATAAACAGAACCTTTACAATAGCATCCAAAAAGTTGAAATACTTAGGAATCAATCTAACAAAAGAAGAAAAATCTACACAGTGAAAATTATAGACCTCTGAAAAAAGAGATCAAAAAGGATTTTAGAAAATGGAAAGATATTCTTTGCTCATGGATAGGAAGAACCAGCATTGTGAAAATGGACATAATCCCAAAGCTGTTATACAGATTTAATGAAACCCCTATCAAAATATCATTAGTATACCTCCAGATCTAGAGAAAATATTCCTAAATTCATCTGGAACCAAAAGAGGCCTACAATAGCAAAAGCAATCCTGGGAAAAAAAGGCAAGGCAGGAGGTATCACAATCCCCAACTTGAAATTATACTACAAAGCTACTGTGATAAAATCAGCATGGTACTGGCAAAAAAAACAGACCTGAAGATCAAGGAACAGACTAGAAAATGAAGACATACCTCAAAGATGCTCAGCCACTTTATCCTTGACAAAGGGGCCAAACATGTGCACTGGAAAAGAAAGATAGCCTCTTTAATAAATGGTGCTGGAAAAACTGGCTTTCCACATGCCAAACACTAAAACTAGACCCAAGCCTATCACCACGCACCAAAATAAAGTCAAAATGGCTTACAGATCTAAATTTTAAAACAGAAACACTAGATCTGTTGGAAGAGAAAGTAGGTAGAAATCCTGAAGACATAGTGGTAGGTAGAGAGTTCATGAACAAAAACCACAGTGCACTGGAAATACTTCAAAGAATCAAAGACTAGGATCTCATCTTATTGAAAAGTTTTTGCACATCAAAAGAAATCACCAACAGGGTGAAAAGAAAAGCCATGAATTGGGAAACAATTTTAGCCAAATGCCCCTCAGACAAAGGACTCCTGCCTAGAACATATAAAGAATTTTTAAAAATCACATCCCCAAAATTCAAAGGCCCAATCCAAAAATGGGCATCTGAGATGAATATACACTTCTCACAAGAAGAAATACTAATGGTAAATAAATACATGAAAAAATGTTCAACATCATTAGTCATTTGAGAAATGCAAATTAAAACAACACTGAGATTCCATCTTACCCCAGAAAGAATGACTATCACCAAGAAATCAACTAATTACAAATGCTGGAGGGACTCTGGGAAAAAAGAAACCCTTCTTCACTGTTGGTGGGAGTGGAGACTGGTGTAACCACTGCGGAAATCAGTATGGAGATTCCTCAGTAAACTAGGATTAAAGGTCCCATTCCACCCGGCTATTACCCTTCGGGGTATTTTTCCAGAAGAACTGAAAACATCATACCACAGTGTATGTACACCCATGTTTATAGCAGCACAATTTGTAATAGCTAAATCTTGGAAACAGCCCAAGTGCCCATCAACTGAGGAATGGACAAAAAAAAATGTATTTTTATACAATGGGGTATTACTCAGCAATAAAGAATGATAAACTCGAGGGTTTCACAGGTAAACAGATACAACTAGAGATCATATTCGTAAGTGAAATAAATCAGACTCACATGTGTAAATATCATATTTCCTCCCTACTGTAAGAACCTGAAAGAGTAAATAAAATCTGAAAGCTACGGTGGGTATTGTGAAAGGGAAAGAAACTGCCAAATAGAAAAGAACAACTAAGAAAGAAGGAAGGGAAAATATGTATATATATATATATACACACAATATGTACACAAGATATATATATACACACACACAAGATAGCTAAAATAATTGTACTACTAATTTCTATTGGTTTATTGAAAGGAAAAGTTGATGTGTAGCTTTTTTATGACTCTTACATGCTTATATCTGGTTATCTGAGTAACCACTTTGAAGATAACATTATGTAATATAACAACCATTGTTATTCTCCTATTGTCTTGTTTTGAAATTCTCTTTCATTTGTATTGTTTTTGTTATTTTTTATTCCTTTGTTTTTGTTATTTTGTTCTTTTCTCTTTAAAATAAAAAAAGAAAAAATATATATGTATGTACAAGGATAGCTGGGATAAGTGTATGGCTAATGTCTATTGGTTTATTGAAAGGAACAGTTAATGCTTAGGGGTTTTTTCAGATTTTTGTGTTTTTTTCTTGGCCAATTTTGCATGCTTATATCTGGTAGTCAGAAGAACTAATTTGAGGACAGCAATGTGCAATATGATGACCTTTGTTGAATTCCTACTATTTGTTTAATGAAATTCTATATCGTTTCTAATGTTTTTGTGTTACTTGTTATTGTCTTTGTTTGATCAGTCTTGCATTCTTGCATCTGGTGGTCTGAGCATCTTCATTCAGGATACCAATGTGTAGTGTAGCAATGACTATTGATTCCTATCATCTTGTTTTGAGATCCTGTGTTATTTCTGTTGTTTTTGTGTTGTTTTGTTTTTGTCTTCATTGTTATTTTGTTACTTATTTCTCTTCAAAACAAAGAAAAATTAATGAATCCTAGCCAAGCATGGTGGTGCACACCTGTAATCCAAGCACTTGGGTGGTTGAGGCAGGAGGATTGCTGCAAGTTCAAAGCTAGCTTGGACTTCTTAGTGAGTTCAAGGCCATACTGCACTACAAATTGAAACCCTTTCTCAAAAATAAAAAAAAAAGAAATAAAATAAAAAATAAATTTCAATCAATCTTGTCATCTAACTGCAGTCTATAGGAAATACATGGATAAGGGACAATGTTAAACAATGTCACCAGGAAGCAAAAACAGACAATGGGCCATTCAATGAGACAGCAGGGCTTATTTTGCCAATGCTTCACTGAGATTAAAACTAAAGAAAAGGGAGCAGTGTGAAGAAGATCCCCGGATCAAAGCCATGGAACACTGCCTCTTAACCCCCATAACCTGAATCCAGCTGCCATAACCATCTTGCCCAAGAGCAAGGCTGAAGTGGTTGCTAAAGAAGATAAAGCCAAGGTGGAGGACAAACCACAGAGAAAATTTGCCAGGTTGTCTGCTAAATCTTCTCCAAAGCCAGAGCACAAGCCTAAAAACCCCTGCAAAGAAGAGAAGGAAGGTACCCAAAAGATAAAAGGGGAAAGTGGACATCAACAAGGATGGGTACAGTGCTGCAGAAAATGGAGATAACAAAACAGACCAGGCACAGAAACTTGAAGGTGCTGAACATGCCAAGAGAAGTGTGTGTATTTTCGTTAACTATTTTCTAGGCACTGTACAGTTTGAAATGCTGTTTTTATCAAATTTCATAGAAATGTAGAATTTTGTTTTATTTTTCAAAAGCTATATTGTTAGCACATAGAACACATTATTGTTATTTTTGGCAAAGGAACTTATGTCACTAATAGAATGTCTCCAAAGCTAGATTTATGTAGGGAAAATACATATCCTTGCTAGTTTTGAAAGACTTCCTCTTGGCTCTCTCTAGGTTCTAACTAACCTAGAAAATAGTTAACAAAAACAATACAAATGAAAGAGAATTTCAAAACAAGGCAATAGGAGAATAACAATGGTTGTTATATTACATAATGTTATCTTCAAAGTGGTTACTCAGATAACCAGGTATAAGCATGTAAGAGTCATAAAAAAGCTACACATCAACTTTTCCTTTCAATAAACCAATAGAAATTTCCTGATGTTGATACACATAGCCACCTTGGCATAAACACCTTGTGGTGAGGGAAATCTCAAACTCATTTTCATGTCCTCTTCTCTCTCACAGCCATGAACATAGACTTGACTCCCTTAGCCCAAAGAGTTATAAAAAACCGAAATATTAAAAGCTGTTATAGGAAAAATGAAACAGATCCTCTATAAAGGAAAGCTCACTAGAATCATGGCTGATTTCTCAACACAAACCCACAGGTCAAGGAGAGCTTGGAGTGAAGTATTTCAAGCCCTAAAAGAAAATAATCTCTATACCAGATTCATGTACTCTGCAAAACTATCTTTCAGGGCTGGGGATCTAGCTCCGGGGCACAGTGCCTGCCTGGCAAGTGCAAGGTCCTGAGTTCGATTCCTGGTACCAAAAAAAAAAACAAAAAAACAAAACTATCTTTCAAAATAAATGGAAAAATAAGATACTTCCATGACAAAGAACACCTGAGGAAATTCATGAACACCTCTACTACTTCAAAATATTCTCAAGGACATTCTTCTAACAGATAGCAAGGATTACAAATCCATGAACCACAACAGAAGGAATCTACCAGGCAAGACAATTAAATGGGTGGGGGAGCAAGCCAAGAACAGGAAAATAAAATGACAAGGATAGGTCAATACATTCATAACCATCATAACAATTCACTAATCAAAAGAAACAGACTGGAAGAATGGTCAAAAAGCAAGATCCAACAATATACAGCATATAAGAAATACATCTAACTCAAAAAGAAATTCATAGACTGAAAATCAGATGAAAAACAACACTTCAAATAACAGGAACCTCCCCCCGCAAAAAAGCAAGTGGAGCTATTCTATTTGCAAAGTGAATTTCAAGCCAAGACTGATTAAGAAAGACAAAAAAGGTCACTACACACTTGTAAAGGGAACAATCCAAGAGAAAAAGATAACAATCATAAATATATATACACTAAATACCAGGGGACCCAAGCATATAAAACAAATATTAACAAACAAGAAAAAACAAATAAGCACTGAAACAGTTATAATGGGGTTCTCAGTAACCCACTGTCACAAATTGGCAGATCAACTAGACAAAAATCAACAATGAAATATTAGAGCTGAACTTAACTTTAAAACAAATGGACTTAGTAAATGTCTACATGGTGTTCCACCCCACAACATCAGAAGACATATTCTCAGCTGCCCATGGGATGTTCTCCAAAATAGACCACATAGTATCCCATAGAACATGCTTAAGTGAATGCAAAGGAATTGAAATTAACCTATGCATATTGTCAGACCATTGTACAATGAAATTGGAAATCAAAGGCAGAAGAAATTACAAGAAATTCATAAACATATGGGTTACAGAAGAAATTATACAGTTTCTACCATTAAATAATAATGCCAATAAAACATACCAGAACTTACGGGACACAATGAAAGCAGGCCTACAAGGGAAATTTATAGCAGCAAATACCTATATCAGGAAAAGAAAGTGAGCTCAAATAAACAATTTAATGTTGATACTCAAGTTTCTGGAAAAAGAAGAGCAAGTCAAGCACAAAGCTCATTAGAGGGAGGAAATTATTAAGATCAGAGCAAAAATCAATGCAATGGAGACTCAAAAAACAGTACAAAGAATCAATGAATGGTAAAATTGGTTCTTAGAAAGAGTAAATAAAATTAGCAAACCCTTTAGTCAATCTTGTCAAAAAATAGAAAGAAAAGACTCAATTCTATGTAATTAGAAATGAAAAGGATGAAATTACCACAGATCCCACAGAAACCCGAGAGATCGTGTATACCTACTTTGAGAACTTGTATTCTAATAAGATGGAAAATGCAGAAGAAATGGAGAGATTCCTAGATACATATGAACTACCAGAGCTGAATCAAGAAGATATAAAACTTCTAAATAAATCAATATCTATCAGTCAATGAAATTGAAAATGTAATTACAAACTTACTGACAAAGAAAAGCCCAGGCCATGGCTAAATTCTATGAGAAATTTAGAGAAGGCCTAATACCACTATTCCTCAAACTCTTTAATGAAATTAAAACAAAAGCAATATTCCCAAATTCATTCCTGGAAGCTACAATTATACTGATACCAAAACCAGAGAAGGATGCAATCAATAAAGAGAACTACAGGCCAATCTCCCTAATGAGTATAGATGCAAAACTCCTCAGTAAGATACTGTGAAACAGAATACAGCAAATAATCAAGATCATGTACCACAACCAAGGATTCATCCCACGGATTCAGGGATATTTCAATGTATGGAAATGCACGGTGTTAACAGAGCTAAAGACAAATACTGTATGATTGTCTCAATAGACACAGAAAAAACATTTGACAGGTCCAACTTCATAATAAAAAACCCTACAGAAAATTGAAACAGGTGGTTTTTATCTCAATGTGATAAAAGCCATTTATGAGAAACCAACAGCCAACATCATACTAAATGGACAAAGAGAGAAAGCTTCCACTCTAAAATCAGGAACAAGACAAGGATATCCACTGTAACCACTCTTATTCAATATAGTCCTGGAGACATTAGCCAGAGCAATTAGACAACAGAAAGAAAAGGAATAAGATAGGAAAGGAAGAAGTTAAATTATCATTATTTGCAGATGACAAAGTTCTCTACATAGAAGACCCTAGAAACTCCACTAAAAGAATTCTAGATGTATTAATCAAATTCAGTAGCTTACCAGGATACAAAGTCAACACTCAAAAATCAATAACATTCCTGTACTCAAATATCAAACTCACTGAGAGAGAAATTAGGGGAATAACACCTTTCACAATAGCATCCAAAGCAATGAAATACCTAGGAATCAATCTAACGAAGGAAGTAAAAGACTTCTACATTAAAAACTACAGTACTGTGAAAAAGGAGATTAAAGAGGATATCAGAAAATGAAAAGAAGTCCCTTGTTCTTGGGCAGGAAGAACAAATATAGTGAAAATGGTCATACTTCCAAAAATGTTATACAGATTTAATGCAATTCTGATCAAAGTTCCAACAGCATACCTCACAGAATTAGATGAAACAATCCTCAAATTCATTTGGAACCAGAAGAGACCTAGAATAACAAAGGGCAACAAAGGCAAGGCATCATAATCCCTGACTTTAAGTTATACTACAAAGTTATTTTGATAAAAACAGCATAGTACTGGCAAAACAAAACAAAAAAACCTGAGCATCAGTGCAACAAATTAGAAGATGCAGAAATATCTACAGATATACTCAACTACCTTCTCTTTAACAAAGGTGCCAAACACCTTCAGCGGGAGAAAGATAGCCTCTTTAATAAATGGTGTTGGAAAAACTGGCTTTCCACATGCCAAAGATTAAAACTAGGCTCATATTGTTCATTATGCACTAAACTAAGAGAGTGGATCTTTGATCAAAGTTTTATATATTAAAGCAGAAACATTAAATCTATAAGGAAGAATAGGTAGAACTCTTGAAGACATCGATATAGGTAAAGACATTATGATCAAAACCCCCATTGCACAAAATCAGCATCTGGGATCTCATCTCATTGAAAAGCTTTTGCACAGCAAGAGAAATAACCAACAGAGTGAAGAGACAACCCACAGTGTAGAAAAAATTTTTGCCAGCTGTTCCTGAATGGACTACTACCTAGAACATGTAAAGAACTAAAAAAAAATCAGACCCCACCAAATTTAAAGGTCCAATCCAAAAATGGGCATTTGAGATGAATACACACTTCCCAGATGAAGAAATACAAACAGAAAATATATGAAAAAATGTTTAACCTCACTGATCATTCAAGAGATGTAAATTAAAACAATGCTGAGATGACTATTATTAAGAAATCAACCAAGACAAATGCTGGCACAGCTGCAGTGAGAAAGGACCCCTTCTCCATCATTGGTGGGAGTGTAGACTGATGCAACCACTGTGGAGATTCCTCAGAAAACTAGGATTAGAGGTTCTATTCGACCCAGCTATTCCTCTTCTTGGTATCTTCCCAAAAGAATTAAAATCATCATACCACAGTGATATATGCATACCTATTTTATAGTGGCACAGTGTGTAATAGCTAACTCTTGGAAGCAGTTCAAATGCCCATCAACTGATGAATGGATAAAGATTTGGGTATACAGTGAAGTACTACTCTGCTATAAAGAGTAAAGAAGGATCAGCTTGAGACATTTCTAGCTAAATAGATGCACCTTGAAGCCACACTCTAAAGTGAAGTAAATCAGACACACATGTGTAAATACTGCATTGTTTCACTGGTGTGAGAAACTGAAAGTGTAAATAAGAGCCAAAACGTATAAAAAATATCATGAAATAGGAAAAAAAATGTTCAAATGGAATGGGGAGGGCAAAGGAAGGGGAGGGGGAAAGAAGGGAAAAGAAAAATGATAAGAAAAGAAGGAAAAATGGAAACAATGCTTTTGTAAATAGGGAAGGGAAGGGCAGTTGAAGGTAGGGCAGGTGAATGGGAGCAAAAAGAATCAAGTTATATCATGCTCAGATACAAACCCCTATAATGAATGTGATCATTGTA